TCTTCGAATAAATTTTGTCAAAACCAGCTAAAACCAGTTTAACAATTTTTTTTTATTTTGATAAATTTAAATTTTTTTCGAGTTTTTTTTTTGTAATTCAAAATTTTCGCACTACATGACTTTTAATCCTCTAGTGCATACAACCGTGTCCTCCATAATTTTGTCTTTTGCACTATTTAGTTTACATCAAGCGGTTGTCGTGTTATGAACAAGAATGTGCGCAAAAACAAAAATTTGATGAAATCAATTATTCTCTTCCAAAATCAGACACATTTTTGACACTTTTGAACAATGGATTTGATTATTCTCTGACTTATGTCAATCGCATTTCCTGACTTAAACCATGAGGAATCCAGGATTAAAAATATTTTTTAATTATCTATGGCCAAAAATCAACCAAGTACCAGTACTTTTAGCCCTAAGAAAAATTAATGCACTAAAGAGTTAAATGGTGAATGTTATTGATGTGATATAAGTAATGTGACGCAACAACAAATAAATGGAATAAAATTCCATATCACTTTTGGCATTAATGAATTGATTGTCACTACCTTATTTCTTGAATTTCACGCCCCTGTGAAATTTTATTTCTATACGCTGTTTCTATTCCCATCGGTTCATTTCCGCTGTGTGCAAACATTCAATGCATGCCAAAAATTTTTTTTGACTTAAATTTTCTATGGATTAACTGTTACAAAGTGGTTGGCGATGCTGCAGCATCCAGTCATACGTTGGATGCCGCCAATTTCGTCAGCTCTGATTTCAAAATACTGAAGAAGAATCATTTGAAAAAAGACAAAATTGATTAATGATTGGCAAAAAAGGAAATTTTTTCTCCTGAAAACGCCAAAAAAGTCTACTTACTTCATTTTAACTAAACTTAATTCGTTTTCCAAATAGTTGTTGCATTCCTAAAGTTTGCTATGTTTGATCTGTTGGTGTGATGCTTCATGATTGAAAACGTATCAAAATATGAATTGAAATGGTCTATCCAAAATGACACTTTTTCGTCTATAATACTATGAAATTTCGAAAAAGATCCTCTGGCACGTTGTCCATTCGAATTAATTTCTGGACAAATTTTGATTCTTTTCTGATCCAAATGCATAGGCAAAGTGTTAGGACACTGAAGTATGCCACAAAAGTCCAAACGTCCGTTTTTCCATCCAAAATTATTTTTACGACTGCATAGGCGAGTGCTATTGTTAACAACAAGTCAAGCCCTGTTTTTGCGATTCGTGGAGCAAATTTCCAAACACCATTTTCTACATTCGTTTGAATGTAAGTGGGCAAGTTATTTAGCGTTTGCTGATTCGACATATTTGATGTGATGGTAGATTTTCTGCTTGTCTTTTTTGTTGGGTTTTTCTTTGCGATTTGATGACTTCGGTTCCCCTAATGAAAATTCGCAATTCTCCAGTCCAATAACGTGATTCGATCGATTAAATAAATCACAAGCAAATGAAAAATCACTTCAAATTCGAAACTATCGATACTTGGAAAAAACACAACACATTCAATGATAGTCCACGACTAATTTATGGATATGTTGGCACAAACAACGATCGATTGCAACTGATTGATCTGGACAGTTTGAAATTCCTTTTTAAAATGCATATTCATCGATGGAGATAAACCATAATTTATACCAAATGAACATGGATCGAAGACAATGAACATGAATGGAAATAAGCTTCATTGTTTGACACATGTCACGTACTGGTGTGCGGCTTGCTTCTTAATTGACTGCCTACAAGTTGCCCAAAGTAGTGCCACCAGAAAAATACTGATATATTAATAGTATACAGCCAGATGATTCATTTTTATCGCGGCAAATGTAGCACAAATTCAACATTTAATGTTGAACAAAAGATTATCAATGTTAGAAGTAAAATCCTGTTTGATTCGTCTGTGGTTCACTATAAATTCATCAATCGTAAAAAAAATAATACAAATTAAAAATAATTTTGTCATTCAAATTGATACTCTTGTGGTTACGAAGGCAAAAATAAAGTCGTGCCCTATTTATGTAGAACAAAATCAGGTAGAAATAATGCCTTGGGCACAGTGCTCATTTAATAACTTGTTCGCTGATATTTGAAAAGGCGTTAAACCTATCAGCGATTAAATGAAAGTAAAAAAATTAAATTAACTGATAAACATTGAACAAAAACTATTGAATCGAATTCAATTTGTTTGTATTCGATTTGTTGATTTTCATGTGGATCGACCAACAGTACAACACATTTACTCAATATAAACAGTGATCTGGTTCGATTGCTATTCAGTGAACATTATTATTGATCCGAAGTAAAACCAGTTTCAAGTGGAACTACTTCTTTCTACTGATAATGGAAAAAGTGTTTATAAACAACAAGCATTGATCAACTAACCAGACAGATTGTAAAACTTAAAAAAGATCAATGGTTTAAATGAAATCGGTCGTATATAGAATCTGGTGACCCTTTCCTTCGCAATCAATTATTGAATGAGGAAAGAATTGAAGAAAAATGGTATCGTCGTATCATCCATCGTTTAATCCATTTGCCGCAAAGATGTCATAGAGCATCAGTGGAAAAAACGCTCAAATTTCACGCCAAATCCGCTTTTCAGTATTTCACAAATGATTTCTATCTTCTAATGATCAGCTTTGATTTCATTTTTTAAATAATCAAATTTCGTTCGATTTTTCCACAGATATGGGCGCATGAAAAGAATATTTCCAAATTCAATTTTTTTAATACTCTGCAAATTTCCAGTCAAAAGTTTGCGTATGTGTTTTCGCTTAAAACTGAGTTCAACTTCAACAGCATCCGTGAAAGTTTACAAAATTTTTGGTTGATAATTCTATGGGTGAGATTGAGATGAGTGTATGTATGTCTTCGACTTTCAATTTTGAAAAGGCGAGTATGTTTTTCGATGGTTCTGTTGACGTTAAAGTAGAGTATATTTACATGCCTTGGGTTGTCAACATTGCTGAATATACCAAACCGTTATATTCTATCAGTTTCGCGAAAACCGTGGAGAACCGCGTCGCCAAAAATGAACATACTCGTCTTTAGCCATTTTAAAGTCGAAAGAAACTCTTTTTTATAACAAAGTCAGTGAAACATCCCAAGCGCAACTCCACACTTAGCTTCTAAATGTGACACCGTAGTAAGTGTGGGCATACGTTTTGCGAATAAGCGACAAAGAGAATGGAAACAAGTGCGCGTGTGGTAGTGAGTAGCCTGATGCGATGCTTCTCAATGTGGCGACTAATAGACGCGCACTTGTTTCCATTCTCTTTGTCGCTTATTCGCAAAACGTATGCCCACACTTACTACGGTGTCACATTTAGAAGCTAAGTGTGGAGTCGCGCTTGGGATACACTACTCTCAACCTCACCTGTAAAATTCTAAACGACAAGAATTTTGTGAAAATCGAAACTTTTCTTCATAATTTCGGTTAAAAAGAATTGTTTTTTTTTTTTCAAATTTTTTGAACGAAAAAGTTTCATGCTATGAAATATTTGTTTTTGGACCCGATTTGAATGCCAATTTCTCTTTTCAATGAGTCGTTGACTTCATCAGGTTTTATGTTGTGATAGTCAACATCTAGGGGTTTTTACGGCTGTCGAATTTAAATTCCATTGCCATTTTGTTCCAAATTCACGGATTGTTTGTGAATTCTTTGCATTGTTTGTTTTGTTACTGCAAATGTCAACATAGTTTCAAACATCATTTGAAATAAAAAGATATGCATCTTGTAATTTTCATATATGAAGATACAAGATATATATATCTTGTGATCCACATGTCTGCATGAATCATAAAGTCCATGCTGTTTAATTGCACCGACAATACTTTTGTTTTATACAAGTGTTTGAAATGTCATAAAAATAGTTGATTTAGATGGTCATTTGACTCATATTCGAATTTTTTTTACTGAAATGGACCAAAAATGAATGAAACAGTCATTTCCTTCACTATGTCAAAGGAACTTTCACTGGCCAACCATAATCGCATTCAATTCTAAGATGATTAACCCTCTAATGCATATATTTTATACAGAGCTGGGAATTTTTTTCCATGCTTATTTTACCTCATAAGCACTTAAAAAAAATATTCATAATCTGGTATAATGCTGGAATTATCAATAAATCGCAAAAATCAAAATGGTCTTATAAGTACAGTCATGCATTTACGACCAATATGGAAATTGCGAAGTATATGAACAAACCGAATTTGCATAGCTGTACTTATAAGAACAGCTTGCAAATTGAGTGATGTTGACATCGGAATTCGTGAATATCATTTTTTCTGGATTATTTGTGATAAAAATAGGTTAAAATAAAATGAAAATAAAATTCCACACTAAACCAAGCACACAAAATATCAAACAAAAAGAAATCCAAATTGCATGGCTGTACTTATAAGAACAGTATGCAAATTGACGGACAAATGTTACACAATTGTAAAAAATCATTGAACTTGAATTGAATTTGGTTAAAAACACTCCAAATAAGCAGAAAAAAATTCCTGAGGTCAACAAAATAATTTTATTCGATTTAATCACGTTTCAAAAACAGGACACGAAACGAAAATAATTTATTTTTACGGAAACGTCGTTTTCTTGTACAAATGTTGTCATAACTTGACACTGATTGACCGCACACAAAATTTTTATGAGAAAGAAATGTGCGCTAGTGTTCTCCAACGAAAACTGTCATACATTATTTTGTGACATAATCAATGATTCGCATTATAGAAAGGTTTAAATGAACCAACCTTATAAGTTCACGTATGCACTAGAGGGTTAAGTCATTTTTTTTTCGGCAGACGGGGAATCCCAAAAAAATACTCAAATATAATCAATGTATGAAGAATTACACACATTTATGTTCCTTCTATTGAATTTCTCACGTATTGGAGTCAGTACAATCACCATCTATAGCAGCGAATCAATATCTACAGTTTAAAAATACAACAAAGCCGTACAGTAGCGATAATCGAGCTACTGTGTGTATTGTTAACGAAATGATGCCAAAAACATAAACAAAAGTATAAATGAAGTACCTATCTTTCAGTTTAAATGACAAAAAATCCGTCGATCAGATGTGCTCCGGCACATAGCTATTTACACAGACTACCCATGATTATTTATCAGTTTTGTGTTTGTGTACAAAAAATGATAAGCGCTGACTAAATGCTGCCCCATGCAAAAGTGACATATTCAAATCACAATACTTTAGTTATCAACCGGGCTCTGTACAGCTAAGACCACATTCGATCGATTTTATTAAAAAAAAAAACGGCTGCTCTCATAAGAATGAGATTATTACTCATCGTCTGTAGCGTGTTGGTACTCGTCACTGACCTAGAAAGTTCACGTAAGTTCACCAAATTTGTGATAGCGTTATTATTGAGGCAATTCAAACGATTTGTGAACAATCTCGTTGTATAAATGAAGTTTTTCCTTATTTTTCGAAATTTAAAGTAAGGCTTGCAATTTCTGAATTCATAGGCTTGAATACATCTATAGAGGCAGAGTTCGTTTTCTGTTCGTATCATAAAATGTACTCTATTGCATGGAGATAGCAAGAAATTGAGTAAAAACATCAAATTAATAATAGTTGAAACACAGTGAGTGAGCATACGTACCAGCGCACATTCGTATGGGACAAAACAAATCGAAAGAAAAGCACGAATCTCCACATACCATTATGTTAAATGATATTAAATAGTTGTATATTAAAAACAATTTTCAACTTTTGGAATGAACGACGTGAATCTCTATTGTATTGAATTTGATTTTCTTTGATTTGTCCACAGGAATTCTTGATATCGTGCTTGGTGAGAAATCAGAAAAGAAAAGATTTTAGTAGAGCTTATGCGAAATTATTCGCAAGACACATCAAATTGTTTATGTGTATTATTCATGTGTGTGCACGGACATCGAATGCGTGGTACTCTAACGAATAGACATCGCATACTGCGAATAAAACACACAAATGACGAATAAACTGGCATAAACATATCTGGTTGCAATCAAAAATCGAACTACATAATATCATCTGATGATTTCGTTTGGGTCGATGGAAATGCCGATGGCGGGCTGAGTTTCAACGCATTGCGATCATATGGGTGATGACAAATAGATTACTTCGAAATGCTTTTCGTTTTTTCTTCTTCGAAATTGTTTGTTGTTGATAAGCAAAATGAGATTATTTTATTATAAGACTAACGGAAAGGCTTCTTATTCTGATGCTGTAGAAACTGAAGAAGGAAAGGCTAGAAGTATGACTCAACAGAGAACCGTTGAACGGAAATCCCCTGAATTTCGGACAAGGCAACATCCAATTTTATCAGCGATTTTTTTGATAACATGAAATTGGGCGATACGAATGTATTGCGAAAAGATACACAAAGAGGAGTGAAATGATTCACTGAGTTTGTAGCTTGTTACATTCAGAGATCTCATTTTGTATACGGCTATATCACGAGATCTTAGTAGCCTCTTATTTTTAGGCGACAGCTGTGGATATTTTTCAATAGCAGCTACCGAACGAATGCACAAACAAAGACACAACACAAGTATATGTCCATAAGAAATGTGCGGAGACAATGCAGGAAAAATTTTGACAAAAAGATGGGCAGAGTTGTTTACAAAAAAACAACACAAAATAAACAAAACGAAAAACCCCATAAAGAATGTATCGGCATTACATTTGCCATGTAAAAGTCATCCAGTGTTTTAGTTTCAAATATCGCGAGCGCGCACATTCTCTTGCTTGTGTTTTCTCCGTTGCTGTGTCTTTGTTTGTGCATTCATTCGATAGCTGCTATTGATAAATATCCACAGCTATCGCCAAAAAATTGCAACTACTAATATCTCGACATGTAGCCGTATAGTATACAAAATGAGATATCCGGTTTTTTTTTTTGGAATTATCAAGCGACGCTTTCTCTTGTAATTGATAAATAAAAGCCTTGTTTACAAACAAAATTGAAACATGGACCGATAACGTTGAATTTCGTGTACTGTTTGACCAAAAAAAATTTAGTTGTAGCTCAACACGCAGTTGATTTTGATTTTGGCCATAGAAGTGCATACTCAAAAAAAAATTTAATAATTTTCCTGGTATAATACATAGACAAGACCGTGTATCGCGGCATTTTGTTTGCAATGAAACCAATGTGTAATGATGAATTTTGTGAATGTGCTAGAAGTTCAGAACTGTCGTGCTAATTTGACCGGGTCCGAATTTTTAAAGTATCAATATGCGCACACGTTGGACGTTTCTCCATCAAACTATACATTTGAATTTCGAACATTTGAAGTGGTTTAATGTGTCACACAATAATTTAATGGAAGTAAACGTCTCTCTATTTTACAAAACAAAACAATCGACGGAAGTGGACATTTCACACAATCAAATCAAAGAATTTCACAAATTGACGTTTTCAAAAGTACCCAAGCTATCAACAATAAACATTTAGCATCATCAAATCGAAGAAATAGTGGCGAGTTTATTTGGTGAGCTATCCGATTTAGAAGTACTCGATCCAAGTTTTAATAAAGTCAAAAAGAATCCAAAAGACGCTTTTATACAGAATTCCAAATTGAAAACACTTAACCTCAAAAATAATCCAATCCAAGAGTTAAATTGTGACATTAGACAGTTACTGAATGGCGTGACTTCAATAAACGTGTCATTCGAATATGTTACTGACTTAGATTTATGTTGTGCGAACCCAATGGAATGGTCGATGAATGAAGAACGATAACAATAACTGACCAGCCGCATCATCAGTTAATCAGAACATCATATCAGTAAAAAAAAAGTTCACAATAAGGACCAACCATGCAGTATTCTGCGATCTACGATTATGAGCCTCAAACCGAGGATGATTTATCACTGAAGCGTGGAACAATTGTTACGCTTCTGACGAAAGATAGTGAAATATCCGGTTATAGAGGCTGGTGGACGGGGCGAATCGGCAACAAAATCGGAATATTCCCATCAAGTTTTGTCACAGATTGCGATTCCATGATGGCTGAGAATCAAAGTGAAATCAATGGCGGAGCTCAGCCACTCGAAATTGACTTCAGAGAACTTAGGCTCGAAGAGACCATCGGTAGTGGTGGTTACAGCGAAGTGAAACGTGGTTACTGGAGAAAAACTGAAGTTGCAATAAAAATTCAAAACCAAAGAGGAAATCAGGACAAAACACTTGAATTTATTATGAAAGAGGCCAAATTATTGTCTTCCTTAAAACACGAGAATATCGTTTCGCTCTACGGCGCCTGCCTAACACCGCCAAAATTTTGTATAGTCATGGAATTGGCGCACGGCGGTTCGTTGCAACAAGTTTTGGCCAAACACAAAATACTACCGAACGTACTGGTCGAATGGGCAACACAAATCGCACGTGGCATGAACTACCTGCATAACGGGGCTCCGATATCGGTGTTACATCGTGATTTAAAAAGTTTCAACGTATTGATAAGCGAACGAATTGACGAACATGATGATCTACGGAATAAAACGCTTAAAATTACGGATTTTGGGTTGGCTCACGAGGATTTGGGATTGGCTCACAGCACGATGCAAATGTCGGCTGCAGGCACGTGTCAATGGATGTCACTTGGTTGGTTTTACAGAACATTAAAATAACGATAAATTTGATTTAACCCACAATAATTTCCCCTATAGAGCTGATTAAATGCGGACAATTTTCCAAAGCGTCCGATGTGTGGAGCTATGGTGTTGTCTTATGGGAACTGCTCACGGGTGAAATTCCATATAAAGGTTTGGATTATGGTGCAATCATGTATGGTGTTGGTGGCAACAAAATACGGCCATCGGACTTTGGTACACCGATACTAAAATCATTTCCAGAAACCTGGGGAAAATTGATGAAAAGCTGCTGGGATAAAGATCCACACAAACGACCTTCGTTCAAAGACATTCTGCGCGAACTGGACACGGTTGATCGATCTGGTCTTTCAGAAACACCAAATAATACATTCCATACGATGCAAGATGGTTGGAAGAAAGAAATCGCTGAAATTGTCCATGAGATGCGTATGAAAGAAGAAGAACTAACCCGGAAAGAGGATGAACTAAAGCAAAAACAGATCCAATTGGAAGCACTCGAACAGGATCTACTGGAAAAAAATGAGGAGTTTGAAGCACGCAAACTACATCATGAACTGGAAATAATCAATATTCAGAATACACAAAAGCCGCAGAAAAAACGCAGCACATTCAGCAAATTAAGACTGAACGAGATGTGGGACAAATTTCGTCACCAACTTCCGACATATACTAACACAATGGTGGTGAACTATACAGTTCTGAGCGATCCAAATTTGCATGGTGTGTCACCCAGACGACGAGTAAAAATCCAAAGCAGCCTTTCCAGTGTAGAAGAATAGCACATAAATATGTACACATCGAGAATGAGTGAAATTTCACTTTTCATTTTATTATATTAATTTCATACAGTTATTTCATTTATATATTCATTTATTTATTTAATTATTTCTGTGTGGGCAATTATTGGTCGAATCACACAAAAAAACTATTTTCGCTTTATACATTTTAAAATTAGTATGATTAGTAGGCCCTATCACACTCACATAGTAAGATGATTGAATTAACTTTATTGTATGATGGAGGAATTGTTACGTTTTCATATTTACCTATAGTTTTCATTCATTTTGTATTTTAAAGTAATGTATGTTTGACCAGTTCACAAATTAAAATTATTTTGGAACCAAAATTCGCGATTTATTTCAATTGCAACGTTTTCTACTGATTTCAAGAATGGAAGACTGAAATATACACATGTTCACTCATTCTTTTACATTTTATCGCTTTCCCTTTGGGAATTTTATCGATAGGAACGATTACCCGAGTTGAAAAAAATGTCTACGCAAACAAAAGGCAAATGGTTTTGTTTATTATTTTTTGTTAGATTAGTTTAATATTATTTCATTTAAATGTATGTGACACGGTATAATGTACATTTGAATATTTTTTGAAGATTTCAGTGAAATTTTGGCACAATTACAAATTATTTATTTATTTATTTATTCAGGCAAATGTTATACATGAACGCCCCTAAAACTAAATAGTTACATCTCAATAAATAATTAACTTTTTTTCTTATGTTTTGTAGTGACTCTGTTTGTTTTGTAAATATATTTCTGTTTTTTTTTTTTTTCTTAATTTGTTACATTGCAAGTTTTTTGACTGCTCTTCCAGTGTAATTTTTTTCAACTGGTTTTTAAATGTTTGTATTTTGTGAATTTTTTTCATTGGCGATGGCAAAGAATTGTATGAATTAGTTCCCCTGTTAATGATAGAATATTTTCCCCAATTATTTTTGGGTTTAATTTTGCGCAGTCTTTTTGATTGTCTTGTTTCATACTCGTGATGCTTGTTGCAAATTATCGTTATTAATGAGAAATGTAACGAGAAATTACGTTCATTCATAATCACTAGTGGAGCCACGTTGCCGAAACATGTACGTTCTTGTTCGTTTACTGTGCACTTCTTTTCTACGGTGAAGCAGACTGCTTTGTTGATGTGTATAACAATACGGGTCAAACACCGGCGCTCCGAGGTGTTCATACAAACTTCCCATGTAGACGATCCGAAACAGGCATAAATCGAAATAAAAAAAACTTTTTTTTTCGATTCTCATACAGTATTTTTTGTGCCCAATCCATTGGTGTTATCGCCACATCGAAATTCGCGCTCTTTATCACTTAATTTGCATCATGTGATAAATGCGAGTGACGTTATCAATAGCTCGGGAATGAATTGAAATGAAACACACGAAAAAGCATTCAAGTAACGAAACAATGTGATATAGATCCATTGATATGACACAATGCGAGAACACACTGCAGACAAAAAATCTATCAAAACGAAACATCGCAAAACGAAATACTTAAAACGGCACATCCTATGTTTCATACTTACGGATTCCTTTCCCATGTTCCACTTTAATGGATTGCTTTATTTTTGTTTCGTATCTGTGTATCGAGCGAAGAAAGTCTCATGTTCTTGATTACCACATCATATGCAAATTCTTAATTATGTCGTATCTCTTGACGCTCAATTATTCAATTATCTATTAAACCAAAACAATGGAGTAACAGTGTCAGTTGATAAGGATGTCTTAAGGTATTGATATGTAGAAAATAACAATAGACACTCACCTTGAGGAAATTAAAAAATTTTACATTCGTAATAGAGAATTTGAAATATTCGAAGAAAAAAAAAACATATGGGAAAAATTTGTTACTCAATGCATTTAATTCGTAGATTTATGTTTGAAGAAAATCAACAAGGATACATTTGGGATGCAAATAAAAGGCATTTGTTTGGCAGTCAAATCTGCACACATTGCATAGCGAAGACATTTGAATGCTCTCTATGCAGCAAGTCCCATTGACTTTGGCCATTTTTGCTCAACTTCTTTAAGGATGTTGATAACTTCATCGGAATCTAAAATAATTTAAGAACAGTTCATTTAAAATCGTTGAAATTTATCTGATTCGAGTTCAAATGTAAGAAAACCATTGATTCACTGAGAAAGGTTCTCCAAAAAATCAAAATAATTATTTGGGTAAATGAATCAAACTTTGTCACCCATACCTGCGATATCAAGCGGTGTTTTACCGTCATTATCCTTAATGTTAATCTCAGCACCGCATTCACAAAGTACTCGAACCGCATCGGCGTTACCTACATATGGATAATTGTATCAAAGTTGGAAGATTTTTTTTTTATTTCGATTTTGTGAATTTAGGCAAATTACCACTCATAGCTGCATAATGAAGCGGTGTTTTTCCTTCAAAGCACCTAGCGTTGATGTCGGCACCGTATTCAGCAAGGATTCGGGCCACATCGGCGATTTCTATATTTTGGTAATTGAATCAAAATCAAGAGATTTATTCGATTTCAAGTTTGTGAATTTAGGCAAATTACCACTCATAGCTGCATAATGAAGCGGTGTTTTTCCTTCAAGACATTTAGCGTTGATATCGGCACCGTGCTTGATAAGGATTCGGGCCACCTCGGCAAGTTCTGTATTTTGGTAATTGAATCAAAGTCAATTGTCGATTGTTTGTGATTTTGAGTATGAATTCAGGAGAAAATTACCATATAAAGCTGCCCAGTGGATTGTTGTTCTTCCATGATCATCCTCTGCGTTAATCTCAGCACCGCATTTACAAAGGACTCGAACCGCATCGGCTTTAGCTGCATATGGATAATTGAATCAAAGTCAATTGTCGATTGTTTGTGATTTTGACAAACATGTGTTTCAAGATTGCTGAGCATCTCAGCATTTCGTAAGGCACGGATATATCCGAGCATATCGACGACGCATACTGTATAATACAGTGGCGTGTGTTGCTACGTGCAGCCGCAACGACTCGACCGGAATGTGTATGTTGTTGCTGCGTGCAGCCACATCAACTGAACACACTTTGTATTATACAGTATGCGTCGTCGATATGCTCGGATATATCCGTGCCTTACGAAATGCTGAGATGCTCAGCAATCTTAAAACACATGTTTGGATTTTGACTATGAATTCAGGAGAAAATTACCATATAAAACTGCCATGTGGATTGGTGTTCTTCCATGAACATCCTCTACGTTAATGTCAGCGCCGCGTTTACAAAGAAATCGAACTACATCGGCGTTACCTACATATTATTGGATCAAATCCAAGTCATTCTTTATGGTTCAAAGCAAGCATTGGAGAAGTTACCTTCGGACGCTGCATAATGAAGCGGCGAATATTCCAAATGTGTATTATTGTGCTTGGCATTAATTTCGGCACCATGTTTTATGAGAGTTTCAACCACACGTACATTGCCTATGCAGTAATTGGATCAAAACCTTGAAATTACATTCACATCACTCATATGTTCTTATCATTTATGTTTTTGTAAACTTTGTTTGCGGAAAAGCAATAAAGAAAAAATCCCGACTCAATGTTGTAATTCTCTAGAGGCTAGGAACAAGTTGTGAGATTCACATAGATTCGCATATATTCATGCGTTCGTGGCTTTATTATTGTTGTTGTACACTGACTGCGCTGTGAATGTCTCTTATACACAATCACACGAATTCACAAATATTCGTACGGATCCGTCTCAAGCGCTTGTGTTCTTACCCCCTAGGGAATTCTGCAGCTCCAAACGATCAATTGGATTTTGGTTATCAAGCGTGATGATTGTTCAACCATTTTTCTAGTTCAATTTACGATAATATGGTTGGGAAATGATTTAACGCTTTTGGTTAGCAAGTCAACTGATTGTTTGGAATAATTCCAAAAAAAATTGTTCAGAATTGTGTCACAGAATACCAGTGTAGGTCTGATCCGATTTTTAAACAGCTCCTGATTTACGAAATTCTACTATAATTTTCTCGTTTGAAATTTCTCACCCAATTCGGCAGCCAAGTGAATCGGTTTAAAGTATGAACTGCCTCCAAATCCAGCGTTAATATTCAATCCTGGATCGGACTGGATCAGATTTTCGATTGCAGTCGTATCATCTGAATGAGATGGAACTGTTTTAGTGAAATTGAAAACCTTTATTTTCAGCAAAGAGTTTTCGACTTACTCTGTCTGATGAATTTTCGTAACTGACTCATTCTATTAAATGGCAACAAGGAAGAAAAGGAATCATAGACGATTAGATAGTTATGAAGTCATTGAACTGCTGAGAATATTCGTTGGAGGTGTTTCGATGCGTTGTCATATGTTCATCTTGAAAAATTGACACTTACAAAAAATTAGCTGGAGGTTTTTAAGCCGTGATTACAACAACTTTTCCCCTATTTTTTTTACAGAGAGTGCATATTTGCTGCTAAGCAGGCCTGAGCTGAGCTGAATTTGATGACGCAAGCGCCTGAAGCGGTAATTTACGGCCCCTCACGATGCAAAACTGTCATTGCTAGCTAAGATTCACGTTGTTAATCAATTATATTGAGGTGGATCTCAGATAGCAAATTTGCACCGTAAGTGTGTTAAAATACCGCTTCAGGCGCCTGAGTCAGCAAAATCAGCTCAGCTCATGTCTGCTCACCAGCAAATATGTACTCTCTGCTTTTTGGTACAGTATTTGTCCACGCTCCCTATTAGTATATATGCATCGAAAAATGTTCAACGAACATTCTCAGCAGTTTAATTGACGAAAAAATGTTTTGCTTACGCATCAACTGCATCTAAAATATCAAAAGAAAAACAAGAAATTTTAATCAGTCTCTTTTAAAAACGGTTTCAAAGAATGATTCTGGAATTTTTAAGCTACCTTGTATGTAACCAATGTCACATTTCTCATAATCAGTATCGTTTTTATGACTCTCCAATTCAGCTCTCAAAATGCTTCTCAATTTAGCAAACGTCTCTTTTCTAAATCCATCATCGCTTATATTGTTGTACTTAGTGGCGACTACTTCGAATTCCTTCAAAACATTGTTGTGTTCATATGCCTAAGTTGAAAAGCACGATAGCAAAATTTTTCACAAAAATGAAATAGAAATAATCAGATAACAATTCAGCTAGCCTTATCATTCCTGCTCGCACATATCATTTCATTCAGACTTTGTGATAGCATCCACATATCGTAATTTTCAGTTTTGTTCACCTCGGACTCACCAAAATCTATACAAAAATCCATAAAATCTCTTTTAAGACCTTCTAAGGTAGACCAAATTTGAAGTAACAAATGATTATTTCGCTGTTAAATTACCAAACACAACAATTTTTGACTTGTTGTTATAGTCGACAGCAATGTTGCCATAGTGTAAATCATTATGGGTAATTCCCTTGCCATGCATGAATTCCAATGCATCCAACTACAAAAGATTATTTCTTGAATAATGATAAATAGTGTTTGGAGTGTTGAAATCAACTCATATACTCACGACTTGAAGGCCAATTTTCATGACAGATACGAAAGGAAATGGCCGAAATTCATCCCACAACTTAGACAATGTCTTTCCCATTAGTTCCATCACAAAAACGCCTCTAGTTTCACTTGTTTTCGGGAAATAGTGATAGAATCGAGGCAAGTTATCTAAATGATTATTCAAAATATATGTTCTTCTGGCGAATTTTCAATTAAATTTTAGATAAACTTTTCTTCTGCTTACAATGACGTCCCATCATTTCATATATTTTTGCTTCTTTCAACAGTTCATCATCCTTGCTGCCTTCATGTAGTTGCTTGAACGCAGCACTTTCCGTGCGATTTCCTTCCATTATTTTACCTTAATTTTGATTTTAAATCATAATGTAATTACATTCCATTCAGTCGCAGAGAAATTTTTAGAAAATAATACCTTGATAAACTGCTCCAAAGAGTCCTTTACCAAGTGGTTTACTTGAATTATCGTATTCATACGTAATTACACCATCGTTGAAACGAATTATTTCGCTGAAAATCTGAGTGAGGAAGAATTGTATTTAAGTGAATTTTAATGAAAAAAAAACAAATCTCTCCGAATTTACCGGTCGCGTTAAATAAAGAAACAATATAAGGAATTGGACGAGCCCACGTAGTAAATACATTTTACGAAAGTAAGGTATACAACCTAACGATTGAAATTCTAACCGGAAAATGATAACTCCTGGTTGAAAATGCCATTATTTATATACTTTTAATGATGATTGTATGATAATCTAGCCTCATCAACTCAAGCACATCGGACACACGTTCCACACATTGTATGAAATGCTTCGCTTCTGTACATATGTAGTGAATTTGATAGAGTATTCATTGCTTCCTCAATATCACACACAAGCGATTGTGTCACACAATCTGTGAGACGCGTGGCCAATGTTTTTTTTTACCCCATGTTGACATACACGTCCTAGACGAATTTTGAATTGATTGATTGATTGATTGATTCCCTGCAAGAGGAAAAGTGCGCAGCGAAAATATTGTTTTGGGATTGTCAATTGATCGCATTCAATCAAAGTAAATAAACTTCGATATCTATCATATTCAAGTGTTTGATGACAATTATGGCATAGCTCTTGACGCTCAATCATTTAATGAATCATTAGCAATAGTATCTCAGATTACTGTACGAACTAGTTGAGTGATTCATTTGATTTTATTTTTTGTTTGGTAAATATGACTCATCGGCTGTTAAACCAAAACAATGTAATAACGGAGTCAATTGATAACGATATCTTTTCTAATTTGTCGGCGCTTTTAATCATTGTTTACTGATCGAGTAATGGATAATGATTTCAGTTTCAATTTTCTAAGCATGTATTTCCTATTTGCTATGATCTCCTCCTTGGAAAGTTGATTTGCACAGCACTTAGAGAAAGAATTGTGTATACAAGACGATTAGACAACAGAAACCAAAGAAATGTAAGAAATAGAGATTTAGTTAGAATTGAAACTTATGGCACGGACTATGCTCGTAATCAGCCATTGCCGTGTAGAAATTTTAACAAAGTAAGGCAATCGTTCTTAGACTCAGCATCAAGGCAAATATTTAGTAGAAACGTGTTCAACTTAGACAACAGTATTTTCAAAGAATTGTATGTATAGTGAATAGTGGTGAACACGGTCAGGGGCCACGGAACGCCACTTCGAAGCCATTAGGGCTGGTGGCTGGGCCGTGCGATTCGGGAGTGTCTCACTACTTGTGTAAAATTCAAATTCTAAATGAAATTCATAACGATATTCAGTCTGTGCTGTGGTGAAATAAATAAATAAAATACGATAATAATCGTGTGGAAAACAAATGACTGACTGACTGTGACTAAAATCTACTAATAAGCGACTTCAGTTAGCTCAGCAGATGTTCTCTATGAAAAAAATGGTTGACTGCAATGAAATTTTAGCCAGTCGATTAATTTGAGACATTTTTGACGGCAGTCAACTTGTGATTGCAGTTAACTGTCATTACTTCAGGCAGTCGACCATGTCCCAAAATAATCGATTGGCTGCTCAGTCAGAATATTTCCACATCATTACGATCTATCGTAAATGTCAGGCAATCAAACACCTGTGTAGCTTGAAAAGAGCTAATTGATATGATCAATATAATCAACAAGGATAGCATTGGACTGGAACAAACGAAACATTTTCCGATTTTGGTAAGACACTTCACCATCAACCAAAATTAAAATGAAAAGAAATTGATCTAACAGCAAAACATACCTTCGGTTTTCTTTCGATCGGTCTTGCTCTTCCCTAGGTACTTTACACAAAGTATACCTAATCGAGAACAAATATTTATTAACATTTCCAGATTGATGGGGGAATATCAACGAAAATTTTCGAAAATGTATGTTATCAAAAAGAATGTCCTCAGTTTATCGAAATTACTTACTTTTGTTTTCAAGGATGGGGATTCGCTCGGAAGGTGCCCCGCCGTTATTCTTTGCGAGACTATTGATTTTTCCAATTCGATCTTTAACTGAAACAGGCGTTGCATCATTAAGATTCGATTCAGACTTCGAAAATTTTGTTCCTGCTTTCACGATTTGAAAAGCCGGATTCATCAAAGGTTTGGCATATTTGTTTGGCGCACGTGGCTTGCTTGGACGTAGAGGTACAGTCTTAAAACCATTTGTCTTTGCGAGACTGTCAATTGCTTTGGCTTGCAATTTTACTTTCCCTCCACCCACATTCACGGTTAAAAACTGTGCAAATAAAACAAAGTGATTTAATTGGAATGGGAACAACGGATGAGATTGTAATGGTTTTCAACTGTCTTTCATTCGATTGAGACAACTGTTTTTTTTTTAATTGAAAAGTTAATCGTCAAATCGTCGGTACCGAATTCGATCCAAAATTTACAAGTGAAAAAATTCCAAGCAACATTAAAGTTACAAATAAATGGACGAACATTTTCAGGATGACAAAAAATGTGACTGAAATTGTCGACTCACCTCGGATACCACCAAGCCAATGAGCATCAGTGTGAAAGATCTTCGACTCAACATTTTTCCAGCTTCGAACTATCGAAAGTTTATTGTAAACGTATCAATTGATAAGAATTGACGAACCGTTTGATGAACATACGAATCGAGGGTGGCGCACTCGAAGTGTAACTAAAACATATGGGTTGAATTTAAGCATTTTATTGGAGTCTTTTGGAACCATTATTGCCTGGTTTATATTTATAGAGCTCAAATCTTCACCCCAGCACCAATGACGTCACATGATGTCACTTATTTTGGTGTCAGAATGGAGAAAATGACGAGAAATTTTTTTTTCCACTTTTGAAGTGTTGTGTGGTGTTTGTGTGGTGTTTATTTGACTTAACTGTTTGAATATGGAAATGTTTTTAAACTTCACGGTATACGAAGTCAAAGTCAAAGTCATTTCAATGTTAAAAAAATATCCGGATCGATTTTTATTTATATATTAAAATCGTATCGGCAGTTTGACATTTCAAACACAGTTGAATGCAATTTGTGTGAAGTCAACTGTCATTTCAGTGAAGTGGAACAATTCAATTGCCATCTCAACAAAATAATAAAAAAATATTTTGTGATCAAAATAGAATTATTTAATCAATACAAAACATCGTATTCAGTTGGACTTTCGATTTAAAAAATAGATGCGTTGCAAATCATCGATGAATCGCAAGTGATCCAGGATCGAACAACCATCAACGAAAAAATCATCTTGCTTTTGCTTTTTATATTAAAAAAAGGTGTGTTTACTAGATGTGTTTATGAATTAATATGTGAAATTTGCTAGAAATTGAAGAACTTTATATTTTAAGTGGGCGAAATAACGCATAAACAATTTGATGTCCGTGAACATCAATATTGGTGACAAGCAAGCTTTACTTTTTTTTCCACTACGAACTATACCGGCGCTGAACGCAAAATTCTGGATGTCGTCCTCATGAGTTTATTTCCACAACGAACAATCGTTTTACTCAATTTTTCCTCATTCGGTATTATTTCGAGTATTTGTGAGTAAGAAGAAGCTTAAAATCGACTTGTGTATAAGCCGTTAGTTATAGTCATCATAGCGGTTGCATATATTGCGGCGTTTCAAGAATCATCGACAACTTTCCGATTGGTAACCAGTAAACTTCACATAGTGCTCACGAAAACAATAACCCATTGTGCCTTAAATCCGCGTCGAAATTTTCCCATATCAGCCAAATGCACAGCACACACCGCATTCATAAATGTGTTACATGATATTTTAACGTTTTACACGATTTGTCATATAAATCCAATTATGATTGATATCATCATGTACATTCCTACGGATATTCTTCTGTGTGGATCAAATATCACAAATCGGCCAGGCGAGATCGAAAGCAATTACAATTACCTACAAATTAAGGTATTTATCATTCCGATAGCTTCAACCAATTCCGAGAATGGCACAAAAATCTGTTAACTACAAGAAAGTTTGTAAGCGTAGAGTCTACGAAGAGGATGCATTTAGGTTTAGTTTGTTATTGAATATAACTGAGGTGTTACATGAAATGTACTACATTACAATGTATGGATTAGATAGATAGCATACACAGTACAATAAAGTTAAGGTCACCAAAAATTAAAAAATCAGTTAAACTTTTATATTAAATTCAATGCTACCACACTAACCAATACACTACATCATAACGTATGGAAATGAAAATTTTCAAGTTTCGTTTTGGTAGGTGAATATTCAAATCTTGGCAAATTTGCCGAAATGTCTCCGGGTAGGGCGATTTCAATTATAGATTTTATGTAGTTTAATGCAGTGTATTTACTTTTTTTTTTAATGTAGGAACAATTTTTTTGAGTAATCGGCTATCGAAA